GTTAAAAATTCCAAATATTATCGTGTAATATGACAAGAGATAGTGTTGCGTTCGCTGTGACAAAAAGGTTTCGATATTCAAATATAACATTTAATCAAAGTGACTACGAAGTAGGCCTGCATATCACTCACAACAGAAATAGATACATAATAATGTTATGTTTATTTTCCAACACATCAGTTGCGAGAGCAATGTTTATGCCAACTAAGTTTCCGTCAATTAATACAGCATTTTTAAAAGATGATTTGCTTCAATTAAAACATTCGAAGAATGAAAAAGAAATTAGGCCTATTGCTGAAATGATTAGTAAAAATATAATTAAAATCCATCTATGGGAAGGGATGCCAGATGGACATATCAAAACAAAACCGGATAATTACTTGGAGTATAGACTTTCAAAAATAGCATATTAATTAACAATGATATCAGTTTTTAATAAAATCACTAATAATTCTGACACGTTGCCGATAAGCCTGGAATCGTGTTCAGATGTTTTCATAAATACACTCACACGAACGCCCAAGTGCACTTTGCGCCCTATTGGATAGTGTTTACAAAATCACGTTTCGCGAAGGCCGGTATTGAAACGCCAATTACATCACTTATATTTCATATCCAGCGGCGACAAATGAATCACTGCATTCTAAGGCTGGGACGGGTACTCGGGTACTCGAATCCGGGTCGGGTACAGCTGGAATCGAGTCCTATTTCTAGGAATCGATTATCCGGAAAGTGAGAGAGCTCTATAATGACAAGGGCAGACAATAGCTTGTCTTTTTCATATTTGACGTAACACACATTTACATCATTGAGTGAGTGAGTGAGTGAGTTTAGTTTTACGCCGCACTCAGCAATATTCCAGCTATATGGCGGCGGTCTGTAAATAATCGAGTCTGGACCAGGCAATCCAGTGATCAACAACATGAGCATCGATGTGCGCAATTGGGAACCGATGACATATGTCAACCAAGTCAGCGAGTCTGACCACCCGATTCCGTTAGTCGCCTCTTACGACAAGCATGGGTTACTGAAGATCCATATTCTAACCCGGAAATTCACGGGTTTTTTACATAATTGGTATTGTCCGATTAATGGAGCATAGTTTTAATGACTGTAGTTTATCTGTGCATGAGCAGTGAGTAGTTAAGTTACAGTAGCAGCAGGAACAAAACGTTCGTTGTTATAACGAGGAGTGTAAGTAATGGTGTTACTCTCTATATTGGTTAAACAGGCGTAAAATTAAATAGCTTGAGGTCAGTTTTAATATCTTATTACCAACTGTTCAAGTTTTCTACAATAATCTCTGTCAAATCGTGACTGAATTTTCAGAAAGTTGACCCGAATGTATTTCTTACATTTCCGGGTACTCGATTCCGATTCGGGTACGTACATGCGGGTACTCGATTCCATTGTTTCCTACTCGTCCCAGCCCTACTGAATTCCTCATACATCTTTAGAATCTAATTACAACTGGTCTTTTTGGCACCAATACCAAGTGTCTAGATAAAGTGAAACGAAAGATATTGGGGGTGGAAACAACTGCTGTGCTCGAAAGACAACACCTGTTTGAAATGTAAACAAAGAAAATTTCAGACTTTACACTGTGTAGCATTTTCTCAAATTTTCAGACACCCAATTTGCATGGAAAGAGCATAGTAGCAAGAAATAGGAAATTAAAAATAGATACAATACAGAAATGTGATGTGTTTACACGAAACTGTCAAGTTTCTGTGCTGCGTGACGCCATGACTGACGCAAAATCACGCAGAACGACAACGGTAATAATCGGCATTTCTGGCTTCTTCTCTTTCTTAAAATGGGAGTGTATTTGGCAATTTCTCTGAGGTGAAGGTCGGTAGAATAAGAGTATACACAATCACCATATCCAGCCGATTACACTTTCAGTATCATAAGGTAATCGTTCGGATATTTTTTCATGAAACTAATTTAATTATCTACATGTAGCCTTGTTCAATATCATATCATACGTGGGTATAGGGTGTACGTGTTATATTCTTTGAAAGTGTTTGTTTGAATAATATTTACAGAAGAAGTTAACACATTTAGTGTAGTAAAGCATATATAAACCTTTCCACAAGTGTTAAAAGATGAAACGTAGGCATCATGTACTTATACAACATGTATTTTAGTTCCTATGATGTGCATAGATACAGTTTCGTATGTAACTCTTCGTCAGAAAAATTTCCAATATCGAAGTCCAGTCCACGATACACCCTATCCTTTCTTTGCTGAACTGGCATCATGAAAGCAGTGTTAGCCATGAACGCCATTTGCGAGTTAACCACACTGTTAAAAAGTTAGCGGCGGTCCTTAGGTGTGTTAACTTAACGTCACGTTAACAGCCTGTTAAAAGTTAACAGAGTTTTCAACAACAAGATAACTCTCTGCTATGTCCTACGGAGGAGACACTAAGTCCTACGTAGGAGATATTAAGTCCTACGGAGAACTTAGGAGATACTAAGTCCTACGTAGGAGATACGTAGGAGATATTAAGTAGGACTTAGTATCTCCTACGTATCTCCTACGTAGGACTTAGTATCTCCTACGTATCTCCTACGTAGGACTTAGTATCTCCTACGTAGGACATATCTCCTACGTAGGACATAGCAGAGGGTTATCGTGTTGTTAATTTGTTAATTTGTGTTCCTTGTATATATCAATGATTTACCTGGAAATTTACAAAATATCACAATAATGTTGGCCGATGACACATCAATCGGTGTTGCGGGAAAAAATGTAAAATCCATAGAAGCAACTCTCAACTATGATTTAGCCCAATTGAATAAATGGGCAGAAAAGTGGTGTGGTGTGTTCTAACGGTTATATCTAGCATACTTTAAGACATAGAGTGAGTGAGTGAGTGAGTTTAGTTTTACGCCGCACTCAGCAATATTCCAGCTATATGGCGGCGGTCTGTAAATAATCGAGTCTGGACCAGACAATCCAGTGATCAACAGCATGAGCATCGATCTGCGCAATTGGGAACCGATGACATGTGTCAACCAAGTCAGCGAAACTGACCACCCGATCCCGTTAGTCGCCTCTTACGACAAGATAGTCGCCTTTTTATGGCAAGCACATGGGTTGCTGAAGACCTATTCTACCCCGGATCTTCACGGGTGTTAAGACATAGAGGGGGTGGTGGTGGTTCTAACGGTTATATCGCAAATACATGTAGAGGCGGGAGGCCTAACGGGTATGAACAACAATAAAAACTTTCATGCATTTATGACCCACATTTTCGAACCTTTTATCAGTCTCTAAAAGGGAGCTGGCAATAGATTTTAATGAGCTTCGTCCTTCAAGCCTGAAAACCTTTTAATATGGTTGATTAATCCTTTGTCATTTATCAATAAAAGTAGTGAGGTTGTGCTTTATTGTTTTAGATTTCTAATATATATGGACACTATTGGGACGTTGGTAACTGTCATCAGACATTATTTGACGACATTTCTCATGGTTTAAATATAGCCGACTTTATAGAAGATAAATATCAGTTTACAACACAACTGCCTAAATCTTGGTATTTTCGGAACCAGAGAAGGGATATGCCGATATTTAGGTCGTTAACCTAGCATATTATGGTCACGAATATAATTTTCTATTTATTACCGAAGTCTTTAATTGCGGAAATTACGCGATAATCTACTTTCCAACAAAGGCAGGCTCCCCGTCATCGTTGTATTTAGAAGGCGGCTTCTTAGAAGCAACGTGACGTCATAACATTGTTCATGATGTCATGTCACCATGACAAAGTGATATTTTACCCGGTGCATATCGCATGAAAACAAATTATCCCCGATATGTTTGCCCTCGTAGGTTATAAGCATTGCTATGATCATTCTTTGAGGTTAATGCCACCCGTTGAATTCTTTGTTGTATTTTGAGCGGTGAAACTAAATAAATGATTTCTTTGGTCTACCCATAACAATTAAGGTGTCAACTTCCACTGTATACCTTACAGAAAAAAGTTTTGACTTTACTCTGATAACGAGTGTAATGCATGGTACTTAAGAATCATATTCCGATTTAGTCATAACCATTCCAACTTTTACATACATCCCTAATCTGATTCCTTCTTTGGGTGCCTGTACAACTTTTGTGTAAAAGAACGTCACTGATGTACACAACATGGCTACCGATCAAATAAATTGATGATGTCCAATCCATGTGTAATCTTTGTGTTCACAAGCCATCATAACTTAATGAAGATGAAACATGGTGTCAGAAGTGGGATTCTCTCAAATGTGAGTGTTTAAAGTGAAAATGGCAACTAAAATAGACATTCATCCTCTGAACTTTGAGTCAAATAATTTGGCGGAAAATTGGAAGAAATGGAAACAGACAATTCAACTATTGTTTGATGGCCCTCTTACAAACAAGCAAGACAGTGAAAAGTTTAGCTACTTTCTGCTATACATTGTTCAGGATGGTCGTGATATTTACAATACACGGACAATTGGGGAAGGTGATAAAGGAAAAGTGAAAACTTTGATGGAAAGGTTTGAAGCACACTGTGTACCTAGACAAAATGTCACCATCAACAGATACAGATTCTATACAAGAAATCAGGCCCCAAATGAATCAGTTGATCAGTATCTCACAGATTTAAGAACATTGGCTAAAGACTGTGCTTTTGGTCTAATTTCTGAGGATATGATCAGAGACAGAATTGTGTGTAAACAAATTCAAGAACGTTTACTCCAAGAACATGATCTTGATCTGACAAAAGCACTCACAATCGCCAGAGGTGTAGAAGTTAGCAAGAAACAAATGAAAGAAATTAGTGCAGAATCCCAGGTTCATCATGTAACACTGAAGAAATCAGAAAAAACTCTAGACCCCCAACACAAGTGAATAGAAGACAGAACTATGGTAGACGTGAGAACCTACAACCACATTGCCCGAAATGTGCTATGCAACATGCCAGGACAGACAGATGTCCAGCTGAAGGTATGGAATGTTTCAACTGTCATAAGATGAACCACTTTGCGTCAGCATGCAGATACAAGTCGTCACATAGGCCGCCTCCCAGGAATTCTGATAAACAGACATATTCCAGAAAAAACAACAAACGCAATCCTGATTCTCAAGTTCATGCTATAGAAGAAGACTTCGAGGATGATTTTTTTATTGGTAGTATCAACAACAATGTGGACGCAGTTGATGAAGCTGACAGAACAGAAGTTTTCGCAGATATAGTAGTGAATGATCATCATTCCATCAGCATGAAACTTGACACTGGTGCACAAGTAAACATTCTTTCAGAAAGTGACTACAACAATTATGCTGACACTCTAGGACCGCTGGAGAAAGCAAACTCAAAATTACATGCGTACGGAGGTAGATGGCTGGATGTTCGTGGAACTGTTAGACTGAAATGTACGTATGGAGGTACAAGTGACAATCTCAAATTCTTTGTTGTGAGTGAAGAAGGACCTTCCATATTGAGTCTGAAGTCATGTGAAGACATGAAACTCGTAAAAGTTCTTCTATCGGTAGAAGCCAAGAGAATCTGTCATTCAAGTAAAGCTGAAGACATGATCAAGGAATATGAACATGTATTCAAGGGACTTGGTCATATGAAAGAAGAGTACAGGATACAGGTGGGTGACAGTGTGTCACCTGTTATTCATGCACCGCGAAAGCTGCCTATAGCAATGGAAGAGAAAGTCAAGTTGGAACTTCAGCGTATGGAAAACCTACAAGTAATATGTAAGGTTGATGAGCCAACACAATGGGTAAACTCAATAGTGGTAGTCACCAAGCCCTCGGGTGACATTCGTTTGTGTCTGGACCCTGCAGATCTTAACAAAGCAGTTCGCAGAGAACATTACAAAATGCCAACAATAGAAGATGTTACAAGCAAAGTAGCTGGGCACAAGTACTTTACAGTCCTTGATGATAAGTCATCATACTGGCAGATTCCCTTAGACCACGAGTCATCACTGTTGACAGCATTCAACACACCGTTTGGGCGGTATCGCTTCCTGCACTTACCATTCGGAATTAAAAGTACAAGTGAAGTGTTCCAGAAACGTATGGACAAAGCATTTGAAGATCTGAAAGACACTCACCCTATTGTGGATGACATTCTGATATCAGGCAGAACTATTCAGGAGCATGACGAGAACCTGAAAGAAGCACTGGAAACAGCAAGCAAGAAGGGTATCAAACTAAATGTTGACAAACTTCAACTGTGCCAAACAGAAGTCAAGTTCTTTGGCGAGCTTCTTACTTCTGAGGGCATGAAGCCAGACCCAGAGAAGATTGAGGCGGTGAGACAAATGGAAACACCAACCTGCAAGAAAGAGCTTGAAGGATACCTGGGTATGTTTACTTACTTAGCCCAGTATGCGCCATCTCTATCAGAGAAAACACATGTCCTCCGTGAGCTCATTAAGAACGACTCACACTGGGATTGGACATCAAATCATGACAGAGCTTTTCGTGAGATAAAAGATCTCATCACAAGGTCACCAGGGCCTGTGCTGCAGTATTTTGATCGAAAGAAAGATGTGATTCCTCAGGTCGATGCATCACAAAATGGCGTTGGAGCCGTGTTGTTACAGGAGAAAGGACCTGTAGCATATGCCTCAAAGGCAATGACAGATTCACAGCGTAATTACGCACAAATAGAAAAGGAAATGATGGCAATCGTGTTCGGGTGTGAAAACTTTCACCACTACCTCTTTGGAAAAAGCTTCAAGGTCATCTCCGACCATAAACCACTTGAGACAATATTTAAAAAACCATTACATGCTGTTCCGCTGAGACTGCAAAGAATGCGTATTCGTCTACAGATGTACGACATGACCGTTCAGTACACACCTGGGAAGGAGATCCCAGTGGCAGATATGCTATCGAGACACTTTAAAGAGACAGACAAACTGCTCAACATTAACTCGCTAGATGACGATGTACAAGCATATGTACACATGGTCATATCCAACCTGCCAATCTCCAACGACAAGATGTCTGACATCAGAGCTGCAACAAGTCAGGATACATCGCTACAAGCAGTAGCAAAGTATATCCACAATGGATGGCCTACACCGGTCAAGGAATGTGTCTCAGAAACCCGTGACTATTGGACATTTCGTGACGAATTAAGTCGTGTTGAAGGAATTCTGTTTAAAGGGAGAAAAGTAATTATTCCCACTGTAATGAGAGAGCAGATGTTGGAGAGAATTCATACAGGTCACATGGGCATGCAAAAGTGCAAAGATCGTGCCAGGGATCTTCTGTACTGGCCTCGGATGTCCAGTGACATTGAGAGGATGGTAGATCTGTGCAGTGTTTGTCAACAATATCGAATGATGCCAAGCAAAGAGCCTATGATTCCCACAGATATTCCAAGTCTTCCTTGGAAAATGGTGGCAACAGATGTCTTCCACTTCAGTGGGCGTGAACACTTGCTAGTTGTTGACTACTATAGCCGGTACATAGAGATCGCTGCACTGACAAACACAAAGGCATCTTCTGTAATAACCCATATGAAGTCAATCTTTGCACGCCATGGAGTGCCAGACAAAGTTATCTCGGATAATGGACCCCAATATGCGTCAAGTGAATTCAAACAGTTCTCACGGTCATACGACTTCAAACATGTGACATCTTCTCCAACCTATCCTCAGGCTAATGGACTAGCCGAGAAGTCTGTTGAGACAGTCAAAAGAATGTTGCTGAAAGCAAAGGAAAGAAATGAAGACCCATACTTATCACTCCTTGCATATAGGAACACCCCTGTATGTGCTCTTGGATCGCCTGCTCAACTGCTGATGAGTCGAAGACTCAACACAAACTTGCCTTGCCATAATGAGATGTTGCAACCGAAAGTGGTCAACCCAGAGAATGTTCGGAAGGCAATAACAGAGGCGCGAATGTACCAGAAACAGTATTATGATCGAACGTCCAAAGTTCGACAACCCCTGTATCCGGACGGCAAAGTGCGAGTGAAACTTGGAAGAGATTGGGTACCAGCAACGATCACAAAATCAGCTGATACTCCCAGGTCTTACCATCTGAAAACTATGAACGGTGTTGCATATCGGAGAAATCGACGTGACATAAACCCCACCAAAGAACTCTTCCAGACCAACCAACAACACCTGAACCAACGTCCAGCTCATCGATGAAGCAAGACTATCCAGTCCGACCTCAGAGCATTCTGATGAGAAACCCAACTACCTGCACGTCAAGTGGTCGACCAGTGTTCAAACCGGGGCGGTTTGAAGATTGACATTCAGTTTAAAGCATTCTGTTGAAACATATTTTGAAAGACTGTTAATTTTAAACTATATTTTTTTTATCAATGTGAAAGTTAAGTGTTAAGAGTTTAGCCTAAAGTTTTTGCAGTTACAGTTTGAATATTTTATTAGCTGCTTATGTGTTAATATGAATAAGTTTTGGTAAATTTTAAATGAAGGTTTTCTTTAGTAAAACGAAGGGGATGTAATGTATGGTACTTAAGAATCATATTCCGATTTAGTCATAACCATTCCAACTTTTACATACATCCCTAATCTGATTCCTTCTTTGGGTGCCTGTACAACTTTTGTGTAAAAGAACGTCACTGATGTACACAACATGGCTACCGATCAAATAAATTGATGATGTCCAATCCATGTGTAATCTTTGTGTTCACAAGCCATCATAACTTAATGAAGATGAAACAACGAGCACAACTGATCAATTCCTTGAAGCAAATGATGCAATTCAATATCATTTCTACATTTTATTTTAAATGCATAGATCAAATACAACAACTGAGTAGACAGACTGACTGCTATGTGGCAAGGAATAACCAGGCGCCAGCGATTTATGATATCCTTAGCAAATGTAACTTAAAATTCCCTCTCATAAAAATACAATAATATGTAGTAATATGATGAAGAGAATAATGCGAACCAGGTTAAACTATGACAACGCAATATATGAATGTATGATCGAAACATAAATCATAATAAATAACATATGATCAAAACATGAAATTAACTTCAAATATGTCATTGCGTCAACATTGAAAATAATTCGAAAATGAAGAAGAATAAACGTACATTTCAACGCGTAAACAAACAATATCCTGTTATTTGGTGATATGCTATGAAGAACTTCAATATGTAATAGAAATAACATTAAATTATTGAAAGCTATTGCTCGTAAAATATGTCCTTGCGTCAACATCGAAAATAACTCCATAATGAAAAACAATTAACTTTAATTTTCGAAACATACACAAATAATCTCTGGCTTTTTTAAGACGTGTCACGAATAATTTCACAGCTGGTAGAATTAACATGAAATTATAGAAACCATATGCTAACAAAAATTTGAAAATTAGTACTGACAAAGCGTTTGTCACAAACATAGCTATTACCCCCGCCACATGTCGATATCTGAATGTCGCAATTATCCTCTGTCTGACTCTGAAAATTATGTAAACGTTACCGAAACTGTCATCTGATGCCTTGATACAAAATGCGAACAAATTCCATCCATTAGGTTTGGAGATATCGCAAGAATACTCGCTGTGACCTTGAAAATAATCCGAAGGTCACTGAATTCGACTGGCGTTAGACGATACGTCCAACGCATGTTGGTACTACCTTTAAGCAAAACATATTAATTCTGTCTTGTATTTTTGCACTATAAAGCTAGACATGTGCAAAACACTTTTCACTGTGAACTTAAAATGAGCACAAGTTTCCCAATCAATTGGTGTTGGGGGAATCCCGCCAATACATCTTGATATAAAGGGGGTGCGTGGGTAGTGTCTCCAAAACAAGCCCTTTCAGTAAACATGAAGGGGGAGTCACTTGAACAAGCGATTGTAGTTTTAAAACTGCTTTTTTGTGCAGTTTAATATCTAAGTTTGACTTTTACCAACATACAACATGTGTTTTGCATATTTTGTTTCAATTGGTGTTGGGGGATTCCCGCCAATACACCTTGGTATAAAATTGGATCAAAATCTATTAATTCTGTCCTGAGTTCGCGGCTACCAAGCTTGGCATGTGCAAAACTGTTACACCTTCGCTGTGACCTTTAAAATGACCTCAAGGTCACTAAATTCAAGTGGTGTCGGTAAATCTCCAATCTCCAGTCAATAAACCTTGGTACCAAATTTGAACAAAATCCATCATTTCTTACTCGAGTTCTTTCAGTAAACAGAATGGAGAGTCATTTGAACAAGCGATTGTAGTTTTGAAATTGCTTTTTTTGTGCAGTTAAATATCTAAGTTTGATTCTAGCCGACTTCTACCAATCTCAAACATAGCATATTTTGTTTCCTGAAGTTTGTGATGCATTTTATTGCCGATTTTACGTTTTTCCGGAGTACCAAGCCAAGATACAAAGTCTCAAAAAATGGGGATCGTGAGGCTGCAACATAGCAAAACCAATTTGCTTGAGGCTGACAGATAATATGTAGAAAAATAAAAACAGCTGCATTTGTATCATATTCTAGGTGAGGCTGACTACTATTTGAACGTCCCTCGTAGTTATACCCGTTAGAACACCCACCCACCTCTCCGACTCTACATGCATGCAAGTGTGTTAGATATACCCGTTATAAACCCACCTCTACCCCACCCCCACTTTATATGTATACATATCAAAACCTCAAAAGATATTTGCGAAAAGACATGATACAAAATTATCTCAAGGTCACTCCATTTCATTGTGTCGGTGAATCTCGCCAATATATCTTGGAACCAAATTTGAACGAAATCCATCATTTCTTTCTTGAGTTATCGACCTAACAAGCTTATTTGAAAAACAAACACCCGCGTATTTACGAGTGATTAAAACTGTTATTACAATTTACGTAAATACTTATTACATTTTACCGCAACGAAAATTATTACAATTTACGTCAATTTTTATTACAATTTGCGTATTACAATTTAAGTCAATTTTTATTACAATTTACGTTTTTATTACAATTTACGTCAAGTTTATTGCAATTTGGCTGCAAGTATTACAATTTGCGTTTTTTATTACAATTTACGTCGTAACAACCCCGTTGGTTATAATGTTTAACCCGCTGAGCGAATACACGGCCGCATATACACGTGTTGTGACATAAGAAACATGAATTGATGAACTTCATGGCCGGAAGATCCCGAACCTGTCGGTAGCGGTAGGTCAGTAAGCCCAAGCTTTGGTTGACATGGAACATCCCCAGGCTGTTAGTAATGTTGTAGTGTCTTAAACAACGCGCCGTCGGGTCCTAGCCTGTATCAACTGTGCAAATGGAGGCCACTTCCGATGTTGACATGTTTATTGAGTTATTACAATACCACCCTTTCAGGGCGCGTCGTTCGTTTTCCTGTTAACAAGGCTATGCTCGTGCAAATAGAAAAAGGGAGATCGGTTTTATAATGGGATGTATGTGTATTCTGGCGATGTTACTTATCCAGATTGTTTCTTTGTATTCCGGGATATGATCCGATAAAATAGAATCAACACAACGCTATTAGTCTGTGGATTACACACACATAATAGATAAAGACTCGCACCCTCATCACGAGCCGATACAAGTCAGAGCCTTGGCTTACAGAGGAATAGCACACTTGTATTGACGACTGTTGAGTGAGTGAGTGAGTTTAGTTTTACGCCGCACTCAGCAATATTCCAGCTATATGGCGGCGGTCTGTAAATAATCGAGTCTGGACCAGACAATCCAGTGATCAACAGCATGAGCATCGATCTGCGTAATTGGGAACCGATGACATGTGTCAACCAAGTAAGCGAAACTGACCACCCGATCCCGTTAGTCGCCTTTTACGACAAGCATAGTCGCCTTTTATGGCAAGCACATGGGTTGCTGAAGACCTATTCTTCCCCGGATCTTCACGGGTCGACGACTGTTGAAGTATTTGATGTCACAAGACACACCGGTAGGATTCTTCCAACCCAGAGGGGCGGTGGGGAGCCTAGTGGTTAAGTGTTCGCTCGTTCCCCACATGGGTACAATGTGTGAAGCCCGTTTCTGGTGTCCTCCGCCGTGATATTGCTGGAATATTGCTAAAAGCGGCGTAAAACTATGTTCACTCAGTCACTCACTCCAACTCATAATTAAGAAATGCCGAGCGCTCTGTCTCTTATGTATAGTGTAATAAGTGTGAGTGAGTGAGTTTAGTTTAACGCCACTTTTAGCAATATTCCAGCAATATCACGGCGGGGGAAGCAAGAAATGGGCTTTACACATAGTACCAATGTTGGGAACCAAACCCGGGTGTTCAGCGTGACGAGCGAACGCTTCAACCACTAGGCTACCCCACCACCCCAGTGTAATACACTATAAAGTGACAGCCCTGAACTATTATGGTTAAATCTTGAAGACTCTTGCTTGAGCGAACTGTATTCCTTACCGACGATTAATCTAAGGCAGAAAACAAACAGAAAAGCGACGGTGTCGGCGACCTAAAGTAACAATCTTCGTTCAGGACTGACTCACTTGCTGTTCTTTTGACGTGTCTGCTCCCTGCGTTAAGACGCGCTTAACCAAGGAAACAAATGATAAACGGTTTGAAGACGGTTTACATTTGGGTTAAATATCTTCTCGTTATTATTTTAATTAAATCTGAGATTATCGTAAACCATATGGAGCAATATGAACGTCGCATTTCTACTTCCAATAAAAGTTTAGATCAGTACCTCCAGATGAAGCTGACTAGTCACGCGACATTCCACAGATGCATTGTGGGTCTGTGGACTTGCGTTATGGGCGCCTTTGGTCTTTTAGTGAAGCATGTTAGAAACAGTAATAACAGTAAAGAGAATTCCAGTTGACCTGCTTCACTGGCAACAATTAGACATGACATTTGATTGTAACGCCATGTTAACTACTTCACGTGATTCCACCAAAGTCATTTAAGTTTTAGATCATTAAGTCTCATGTCATCCTTCACTATTGTATTCTACGTCTTCTCTGAACATGCCAGAAACGTAACTGAATATACAGTTGTGTGTTGTAGTCTCTTGTACACATGGCTGCCCTGTTGGGGACAACACAAATGTATATATGCTATTCCAAAAAGAAACGCATAACTCAGAAATCTGTTGCGAAATTGCTGTATTTTCAAACATATATAACTCATCCACAAAAAGAGTTTCGGATATCCTCCGAAGT